CCCCCCCCCCCCCCCCCCCCCCCCCCCCCCCCCCCCTCCCCCCCCCCCCCCCCCCCCCCCCCCCCCACACCCTCACGCCCAAAATGATGCGCTCAACCTCGGCCCTCCGCGCCCTCCCGCGCATGCCCCTCGCCCGCGGCCTCTCCTCCACCGCTAGCTCTTCCTTTGCTCAGCCCGCCGAGGCCTCCAAGCCCGCCGCCGTCAAGAGCTTCAAGATCTACCGCTGGGTGCGTTCCAAGTCTCCCAAGTGGTGGCGAGTGGGCTAGATAGCCCACTCACGCCCCCCCCCCCCCCCGCCTTTCCCAGCCCGACCAGTTCGGATTACTCATGCCAGAACCCAGACACCCCGGCTGAGAAGCCCAAGATGCAGGAGTACAAGGTCGACCTGAACCAGTGCGGGCCAATGATGCTTGATGCCCTCGTGAGTCATTCATCTCTAGTGACTACAGTTTTCGCTAACCCTTTCACAGATCAAGATCAAGAACGAGATGGACCCCACCCTCACCTTCCGCCGCTCTTGCCGCGAGGGTATTTGTGGCTCGTGTGCCATGAACATTGACGGTGTCAACACCCTCGCCTGCCTGTGCCGTATTGACAAGGACACGGCCAAGCCCGCAAAGGTCTACCCCCTCCCTCACAGTGAGTCAGCTTGCTGCGCCACGCCGCGCCGCGCCGACATGACGTCGCGTGGCATTTCTCCGCCCTGTTGTCCAATCACTGACCTCAGTGTACGTGGTCAAGGACCTCGTCCCAGACCTCACCCTCTTCTACAAGCAGTACAAGAGCATTGAGCCCTACCTCAAGAACGACAACCCTCCGACCAAGGAGTTCTACCAGAGCCAGGAGGACCGCAAGAAGCTCGACGGTATGTACGAGTGCATTCTCTGCGCATGCTGCTCCACTTCCTGCCCATCCTACTGGTGGAACCAGGACCAGTACCTCGGCCCCGCCGTCCTCATGCAGGCCTACCGCTGGATCGCCGACTCGCGTGACGCCTACACCGACGAGCGCATGGACCGTCTCCAGAACAACATGTCTCTGTACCGCGTGAGTACAACTTGGCTCCACCGGCAAAAGCGAATACCGACAATGTCGTATTTGCTTCCGCCGTTGCCATGTCCGTCGCGGAGAACACAGCTGACCCCTCAGTGCCACACCATCATGAACTGCTCCCGGACGTGCCCTAAGGGTGAGTTTTGCATAGGTTGAGCGAGGCCGTGTCGGATGCGGCAAATGTCCATCCACCCCTCTCCTTTCCTTCCGCGCGCCGCCCACTGACTCCCAGGCCTCAACCCCGGCCGTGCTATTGCCCTCATGAAGTTGGAGATGGCGACCGGTGCCCCCGTCAAGCACCAGGGCGTCTAATCGAGGCAGCCTGTATTGGAGAGTGTGGTTGATGTCTCAGCAGTCCCGCGAAAGCGGTTTGTATGCATTAAACTGGATACGCATGGCAACAGAGCGGGGCAGCGGTCAGGAGAGCGTGAGCTGTTAGACTCACCTCGTCATCCCGGAATCGGCCGATGCCTACACTTGCCACTCCCACGCGCGCGTCACTGCGCAGACGCTTACTCAGTCGGAGGTTGCAAACGCTTGATCACTCGCAGCACGGGGCGTGAGCTGAGGAGATGGAGGGCGTGGAAACTAAGTGTCGGCAGTTCGGCACATCTCCGTGACGAGAGAGCCAAGTGAGAAGGAGCTGATTTCGTGTCAGGTCCGAGAACTCGTTCAACACGAGTGACTGGGGCATGAGATGTGCCGAGAGAGCACAACCGCGACAACTTATGCGCGGTGACAGACCTTACTGCTGATGGTGACTCACCAGCCACCCCCGCACATCCAGAAGGGAACCACGGAACGGCCATTCCACCCCCGTCCCAGCCCAGCCCAGCCCAGCCCGAAACGTGACAAATGCATGGGTGGTAGGTCGTTGGCGATGGCGTATGCAAAGAATCTAATTAATGCTCGGGGTCCCCACGGCCGTGTCCTCTGTGGGCGGCGGCTGCTCCGTCGCCGTCTCGTCCGCATCCTCGGTCGCGTGCTCGTGCTCTTCCCGAGCCTCTTGCCGCCACGACGCAGTCTCGGTCGCGAGACACACGCTCGAGGGCCGCCGGGAGCGGTCCGAGCGCGAGCCGCGCGAGCTGCGGCGCGAGATCATCATGCCCGGCCGCGGCGACTTGTCCGAGTGCAGCGGCTGGTCGTCCGTGTTGATGCGCATGTCGGCGAGATTGCTCGCGCTTAGCTGCCTGATGAGCGGGCGGAGCGCGTCGACCGTCGAGCTCGGGGCGCGGCTGCGCCGCATGCTGTTCGCAGTGTACTCGGCGCTGGAGACGGCCGTGTCGTCGACGGCGTTGCCTCCCGCAGCACCCTTCGTCGAAGACATGGACAGCGAAGTCATGCCTCCCACACCGCCAAAGAGGAAGCTCATGGACCGCCGGTGCGTGACCGACTGCGTGGACTGAGTCGAGGAGCGGCGCGAGTGGGTCGGGCGAGCACCCGCGCCAGGGGTGTGACCGAAGGACTCCTCTGACACGTTCGTGACAGGCGTGGCAGGCGACTCGTCGCGCCGAGAAACTCTCCTCTGGTTCGGTAGAGTGACGCGGCGCACACGAGGGGAGGCGTTGGGTGAGAGTGCGGGCTGAATACCCAAGTCTTCCCGTTGCGAGTCGGCAAACCGTGTCTGCGGCACAGCAACGGCCTCGACCGACTCGTCAATCTCAGGCTCCTGCACGAGCTCCTCGACCTCGTCCTCGTACAGCTCGCCATCCGCCTCGAGCTCGTCCTCGTCATATTCGTACTCGTCATCAAAGCCGTCGGCGAGCTCCGCCAACCCACGGACCTCAGCGCGGTACTCGGCGATCTCGCGGGTGATGGCTTCACGCAGCTCGTCGACGGTCTGGAGACCCTCAACCTCCTCCCACTTGTCAAAGACAGCAGGACAAGACGGCTCGTCTGCGGGGTCGTGGTAAGTGCCCACATAAGGGTGCTGAAGAGCAGTCGTGACGTCGATGCGCTCATCGGGGTCAAAGACGAGAAGCTTGCTCAGCAGGTCAACGGCTGACAACGTCAGCATCGATCGCTCAGAGGTCTACCGTATCAAGTAGACTCACCATCATGTTCCGCATCAGGGAAGACGTCTTCGAGAGCCACACGTGGGCTATACGGGAGCGTCTTGAGGTATGCACGCGCCTTTTCAGAGCTCATGCGCTTGAGCGTGTCGTCATCGGGGGTACCGAGCACACCCAAGATAAGGTTGAGCTGGTCAACGTAGCTGATGTCAGCCAACGCCGCGCCAGTAATATTCCCGCTTGACTCACTCTTTTCCCTTGAAGACAGGCTTGCCGCCAAGCAGCTCGGCCAAAATGCATCCGATGGACCAAACGTCAATGGCGGTGGTGTAACGGCGATTTGAGAGCATGATTTCCGGTGCGCGGTACCAACGGGTGGCCACATCTGAACGTCAGCAGCGACACGACGGAGGTTCCACTCACACTCTGTGAGACGAAGCTCATCGACCTGCTCTCCAACAGGCTTGAAGCCACGGGCGAGACCAAAATCGCAAATCTTGAGTTCGCAATCAGAGTTGACGAGCAAGTTTCCAGGCTTGAGGTCACGGTGGATAACGTTGGCCGTGTGAATGTACTTCATGCCGCGGAGGAGCTGATAGAGGAAGAACTGGATGTGGTGATTCGAGAGGGTCTGGCCAGATCGCACAATCTGGTGCAAATCGGCCTCCATCGGCTCCATGTAGAGGTATCTGGCTATCAGCATGAGCTCAGCGGCGCATACCGACATTTCGTTGTAACCGTCCCAGACATTGTCGAGGTCGATAAGCCTATCTCGTCAGCCTGAAACTTGCGGTTGGAAGGTGGCGCCGCTAAAGCCCCAGAAGGTGGCGACATACCCGGTTAGGTTCTCATGTTCCCCAAAGTGACGCAGCAAAGTGATTTCACGCAGAGCGCGGCGTGCGAGGATGGGCTTGTCAAAGACGCGTGTGATGCACTTGATTGCGACGGGCTCTCCACTTAGGGTGTCCTGAACGGAGACGACGAGGCCATAGGCTCCTTGGCCCAGGGCACGCAAGAGCTTCCAGCGATTAGGCACGTGGAAGACATGCTTCATGGCGTGCAAAGAGTGGTAACCTCTGCTTTGTTAGTCTGTTGTCGACTGGGAGGAGTACGCACCGAGCTGAGAGGTTCTGCTCAGACAGGGGGTGCTCGTCCTCGCCATATTTGAGCTCGCGCCCTTCCCGGCGTTTAGAACCGGCGGCTGCGGCAGCAGCTAAGCGGCTTGCGCCTGTCTGGGGCGTGGTAGTGGAAGGCAAGACTTGGGAAGCATTTGATCCTGTGCGCTGGTGCGACTGTGTGACCGGTGGAGACCGAGGGCGAGAGGGAGGAGCCATATTGCGCCCTGCTGCGACGGCAGCGACTGGGCCTGCTGCTCTTGCTCCTGCGGCTGGGCCTACGCCTACGCCTACGCCTGCGCCCGCGCCCGTGGTTCCCCCGCTACTGTTGCTTCCGGCGTCGACCTCGGGTGGGCTTGGGATAGCCGACGATGCGGCAGTCGAGGCGGTGGTTAGCGAGGCGGTGGAGACGGGAAGGGAAGGTGCCGAACTGGATGGAGCGCTTGGTCCCTTTGGGGGGGCGGTGGTGGGACCCAAGGAAGCGGCGACGGCTGCTGCGGCTGCGGAGTCGTCTTTATTTGCTCGTCGTGGAAGGACTGTTTTTGAGTGTGATGTAGAAACAGAGTCGAGTGGAATTGTTGGAGAAGAGTCGATGAGGGCCATGTTTGGCGCCTCTTGGGTGGGGGGAGGGGGAGGGGGAGGAGCGCCGTTGACGCGGGTTACGGGGTGGCGCTATGACCCGAGCGGAGGTGGCGGAGGTGGTAGAGGAGCGAAGAGGAGCGAGGAGGAGCGAGGAGAGTGGAGTGATGGATGAAGGGGTGATGAGTGATGGCGAGAGGAGGTTTGTGCGCGGTAAGGGTAGTGGAGGGGGAGGGGAGTGTTAGGGTCAGAGTGAGGGAGTATTGGGTGGCGTCTCGGGAAGAGGGAGGGGGGGGGGGGGGGGGGGGGGGGGGGGGGGGGGGAGGGGGTTGAGAGTGAGATGAGAATGATGATGATGGTGATGATGGTGATGATGGTGGTGATGATGATGACGTTTGAGATGACGAGGGAGGTGATGAAGATGATGAGGAGGAGGAGGAGGTGGTGGAGGATGAGATGGAGGAGGGAAGGTGGATGATGAGGACGACTACCACTGGTTGTTATTGGAATCAAAACTTTGTTGCCAGGAGGAGAGGAGAGTGGCGGGGCTAATCAGTTCCTAATTGCAATACAATCCCAATACTCAAATCAAATGGATGCGGTCAAATGAGACCGACACAACAGCCGACACTGCGACATGTCCTGTAGTCTATATAACTTCAGGGTCATTTCTCATTTGACGACCAAACAAAGATCGACGTGCTTCCCCCTGTGTCCCATGTGCCATGTGCCATGTGCCATGTGCCAGTGTTGTGCTGCGGTGTCATCTCCTGTCGATCTTGTCTCGGATATCCCTTCTCGCGCTTCTCGGCCTGGTCAAACGCCTCCCGCGCTGCCGCTTCGATGCGCTCGTCGCTTCCAGTCACCCAGCAGTTGACTGCTGGCCGATGGCCGCTGGCCGCTGGATTGGATTGGATTGGGGATGAGATAGCGTGTAAAGCAGCTTTGCAGTTGATCCACAAGGTTGGGTGTCAGTCCGGGCGGGTCGAGGACCGAGGAGGAGAGGCGGAGGTAGCGAGCCGGCATGAGGCAGACATGTGATTGCGCGCGCAAGACGTGAGATGGTGGGGAGCGGGAGTGACTCTCCGCGATAACGCTTTTGTAAGAATTTGCTCGTTTCGCTTTTACAATCGGAGGAGACTACTACTAGTCTCTCGCAAGCTGAGATAGACTGCTATCGGAGCAGGCGCGCCGCAAGTCGTCCCCACTTTGCATGCACTGCACAGCACAGCATAGGTGTATGCTCTGCATGCTCTGGTCGTGTGTAGTAGGTGGAGTTAGTGGGTGGCGACGAGGACATGAGAGTGGCGTTCAAGCCATCAGTGCTTGATCGTGGAATGCAATCTCCTCATGCTGCTCACATGCTCACCATCATGTCATCATTCTTCATCGCCATCCTGTATATATTTCCAGGCAGCCGTCAACGCCTCAACGCGCGTCAACGCCTCAACTAAAAGGGCGTCCACTTGCATATGGCTACTCATGACGCTTAATCGCCCCCCCGCGGTCATCGCGGTCATCCACTAACGATCCGTGCGGTGCATCCATGACTCATCTTGCGATTCTCTTCTCCTTGTCCTCTCCGCCTCAAGCTATACACGCTGCTGTGTTCAGTACACATCCACGACCAGTCATCCATCCCAGTTTCCCACACTCTTCGCAATCCCCGCGCACCGCTCTTGAATCATACTCGCCGCTCTCCTAGTGCCAACCGCGCTACAGCCTACACGCTTGCACACCTTGCCAACGGCGCGGCAGGATTACCTCGCTCGCGATCGCTCGCCACTTACTCTCCAAGCAGGCATAAGAGCCCTCGCCATGGCCTCCTACCACCCCGTCCCCAGCCTCTACTCCCTCACCGACGTTGGCAGTATGGACAGCATACATCTCCACGACCAGACGTCGCACCCAGTGGCTGCGGCAGTGAGGACAGCCAAGCGCCCTCCATGGTCACTCCGGAGGACGTACCGCGACTCGTCGTCCGATGAACGCGTTTATCTCTGTGTCGGTCAGTCCACGCCTCTCTTAGATGTCACACAACATCAGAGATCTAAATGCAGTCCTCTTCGAGGCCGTCACCGTAACAGCGCTCGCGATGGCCGCATTTCTTGTCATGGTGGTAGGCCCTCTTCACCTGCCTTAACACCCCTCTGATCGTAGACCCGCATGCCGCCCTCGAACAAGCAAACTCTCGGCGTCTCAGTCTACATGGCAATCTTCGTTTTGGGGCGGTACGTCCCTCCTCCTCCTCCTCCTCCTCCCTCTCCCCGTCCACTCTTCGCGGTCTCACACAGCCTCTTCTCCCTCCTGTACTCGCTCGACGCAATCCGCGCCCGCAACGTCATCCAAGTACGTCCCCCTCCCCGTCCGCTGACCTAGCTCGTTCTCCACATCTGCTTCCAGCTCTGCATGTTCGTTTACGCCGTCACCGAAATCCCGCAGACCCGCTCCGCCTTACGGAACCTCGACGACGCGCGCGCCTGTGTCCCGCGGGGCGGCACGTACGACTGTCTCGGTAAAGGCTCGCTGTATTTCATCCTCCTGAACATCCTCGTGTGGCCGATCGTCATCACTGCCATCGCGACGGCGGGGTATGTCTTCCTCGCACGCAGGCTGTACGTCCAGTTCGGGTGGGAGGAGTTCCGGATCCTCAACGCCAGCATCGGGCTGAAGCGTGCGTGTCGTGCGTCACGGCTGACAACAGGCATGTATCGGACGTACGCGTGCATGGTGTCACTCCTCAAGCTGCTCGCGTTCTTCGCGAGCGCCTTCTGCATGGCGGTGCGTGCACGCCGACTCCTCTGATAGCAGTACATCGTTCTCATCACCGCGCTGTGGCGCGACAAAACCGAGCTGATCATCACCGTCATTGCCCTCCCGGTCTTCTATCCTACAATCGCCGTAACCGGCTGGGCGCTAATCACCGAAGACGCGGCGTAAGCCCCCCCCCCCCCCCCGTCGTCAAGCTCACACAGTCTCATGCTCGTCTCCTTGTTCCTCCTCTTCGCCGGCGAAGCATACTTTGTGTGAGTTCCACCCTGTCCCGCTAATAGCAGCTACAAACTCGCCAGCTTGTGGCTGCCCCGCACGGCCAAGCTGTACACGAGCACGCGCGCGACTCTCGCCGTGTTTTGTGCGTACTCGATGAAGACCCAGGACGCTAACGCCAGCGGCCTTTGCTATTCTCGTTCTTGTGCGCGCAACCTGTGGCAGCTGACCCCAGCTCGCGGTGCTCGGGAACGGCGTGGCGTGCCTGCTCAACTTTGGCAAGGGTTTGCTGCCAGCGCACCAAGAGCGGCGGCAACGAGCGGCGGCGGTGTTCCAGCCCTCTGTGGCGCGAGAGAAGGGGCAGGAGCGCCATGTCGAGGAGCGCCTGGTTATCGAGTAGGGCGTGAAGCAGAAATCAGCGCCGGCGGGACGACACAGGCCCACGACACACGACGCACGACATACGACACACGACACACAGCGCTCAACACAGCACACACCCATGATGCCGCAGCCGACGTTGTATACTTGTACATGCAGGAGTGAACTGGCGCAAGACGCGCCTGACTTGTGGAGCGGAGTGCCTGACCATGTGGCGGAGGCGGAACCGGACGGACACTGAGATGAATGGCATACGAAGCGAGCCAGCAGCCCAGTCAGCGTGAAGCGAAACTCTACTATGCCACATTTGTGCCAGCTGTTCCAGAGATGACGATCGGAGAGCGGAACGCGCCACGGAACCCTGGCTTGGGGGCTTGCGGGCAGCAAAATTGAGACGGCGGGGTGAGGCGCGAAGGGTGGCTGCAGGCCGAGGGCTGATACGAGGGCCAGGGAGCGGCGTGCGTGCTCACGCGAGTACCGTGGCTTGGCGAAGACGAGACCGCGGAGAGATGTGGAAGAGACGGCGCAGACGAAGACATGGACAGCGGAGAGGAGGACGCAGCGCCCCCCGACGTGTGTAGACACGCTGTACGAGTGTACAGTACGAGGGCGGCATGCATGTCTCGAGATCTGGAGACAGATCAATAGACAAATAGAGAACACCATTAGAACAGTCCTAATACCTCGGCCCAACGAATAGCGGAGATTGTAAATGGCCGGATGTGTGGCATAGGGAGACGAGTGCCCTGAGGATAGAGTAGGTTTTAGACATCCTTAGCTCATCCCCCCTTATCCCCTTATCCCCATCTTACCTCCGTCCTTCCTCCTCGTCGCTCCAACCCCCTCCCTCGTCGTCTCGATCTCTTCTCGATCTCTTCTCAACAACACTCTCCTTGGTCTCTCCTCCTCCTCCGCCTCCTCCTCCTCCTCCTCCTCGTCGCCTGTCTCTCCCCTCTCCCCGTCCTCGCGTCGACCTCCATCATCGACTCGAGTCCCAACTCCGAGAGACTCCCCAATCCCCGATCCATACCCGACTCCCTCCCCCCTCCCAACCCCACTCTCAACATTCGTCAGCTCATGCCCCCCTCCTCCTCCTCCTCCCCCTCCCCCTCCAACATCTAGCACCCACCTGTCCTCTCCGACGCCCCTGCACACACCCACCCCGCCCGGGCGGCGGCCGTCATGCCGTCCTCCTTCCTCCGCGCCGGCGTAAACGCGCTCCGCGACCGCTCCCGCGCCGTCGCTGCGTTCGCCGGCGGCGGCGGCGGTGGTGCAGCACCTCACGACTCCGTGCCCCTTCCCCTCCCCCTCAGCAGCTGGCACCTCGCACCCGAGAGCCTCTTGGACGTCAAGCGTCTCCTGTTCTGGGCTGCGGCATGCGTGCTCCTCCTTGTCCTCGGTGAGTCCGGCGCGCGCGCGCACGCGTTGTGTTTGTAAACTTTTGTTGTGTGCACACTTTCCAACAATGCTTACCCAGTCGCCGCAACATGCCCCGCCGAGTCGTCCTTCCGCGTTCACCTCACCGAGCTCGCGTTCCGTCGCCACCTCGCGCACATCCGCTCCTCGGACGCGCCCGAGGAAGGTGCCCGCGCGACCAACGGTCATGCGACCAGTCCCGGCACCAGCAGTGGCACCGATACACCAATCGCGCCATTCCGCTTTGCCAACCACGTCGCCATCACTCTGCGCACGCCCAACATGTGCTACCGGTCTCTGTTTTTCTTCGCCCTCGCCTTCGCTGCACCCCCCTTGCCGCCAGTCTACCTCTCCGACCCGGTGATGGGCAAGCCTCCCAAGGCCTCCGGGCCACCCAAGCCCGAGCCCACTGTCGCTTACCTCGGTGTTCTTGGGCACTGGTTCATGCTTGGACACGTCCCCGAGTCTCTGCAGTCGTCCTGGGGATATGTCGCCCGGATGGGCCGACGTGACAAGGCTCGCAAAAAGTCTGCCGCTCTGGACCGCGCTGGGGTCATGGAGATGCGTGCCGTTGCACCAAAGGACGAATCGCCTGGAACTGGGTCCAGGCCCTCGGCGCTCGTGCCCAAGCTCCTCTTCAAAACTGACTCGCACAAAGATCTCGCCGATTTGCTACCACTTCATTCGACCCCGTCTTCCATACCATCTGTGGGACCGGGCTCGCGGCGTGGGTCAGTGTCTACACTTGCTCCTCCACCAATTCCGCCCCAACAACCCGATCCGTCTATCGAAATCACCTCGCCCGTGCTCACGGCGCTCAAGTCCGACTTGGCCGCTGCGCAGGCCGTGCTCACTGAACTGCAGACACAGCTGGCCGCGCACGACGAGTCAGTCGCTGCATCCCAAGCGCATTTACAATCCACAGTCGACGAGCTGCGGCAGCGGCGCAAAGACGACGATGCCGAACGCCAAGATCTCAAGTCTAAAACCAAGACGCTTGAGGACCAGAAGCGGCAGGCAGAAGCGGCGCGCCGCGACGCCGACAAGCGGCTCAGGGCTGCGGAATCCGTGCGCGACGGACTGCAGGCCAAGATTGCCACGGCGTTCGGCGAGATTGAGGATCTGAGGGAGCAGATGAGGGCAAGCGAGAAGCAGGTCAAGATTGTAAGCAAAGAGGGCGCGCAGCATGTGGTCGACACTCGTGCTGCGGTGGAGCAGAAGAATGAGGAACTGGGCGAGCTCGACACCCAGATTTCCCAACTCGACACGGCAATCGAATCGCTAAGCAAACAAGTGACCGAAGCCGAGGACAAGCTCAAGGCTGCCGAGACAGCTGCCGAGGAGGCGCGCAAGATTGCGCCCGAAGAGGAGATGATGCTTATGGCTGCCGCGTACGAGGCGGCCGCGAGCGAGTCGTACCACCACGGGCAGCGCCAAAACCAGGCCGATAGCCGCTGGGCGTCGCAGGCCGCGGCCTACATGGCCGAGGCAGGGTTCCCGCAACTCGACGAGTCGTACACTGCGCGCCCCACGGCGAACAACAACAGCACTACGGCCGGCGGTTACGCACACCTTGCACGCGCGCACCCGCACAACGCTTCTTACCGTAGCCTCAACGACAAGCGGGTTGCAGACGTCGCCGGCTTCGAGGACTTTGGCCCTGGTGCGTCACGCTCGCTCGCGCCGCACCGCTTGTCGACACCTCCTATCCAAGTACACATGGACGAGGCGTCCGAACACGGTTCACCGAGCACGGGGTCGGCATCGTTCCCCAACTCGTGGCTTCCACAGGGGCTTGTGCGCTCGCTTGAAGGTGGCGATACGCCGCTCGACAGTGGTGCGTCCGAGACTGAGAGAGACGACTCGCTATTTGCGTCGCTCGAGGACGCGCTTGCTGCTGGACCCTCGGACGAGGGCTCACCCAACTACGACTCGGACCAGGACTCGCCTATCGGCTGGCCGTCATCCGCGCCCGCATCGGGCGAGCGCAAGGTAACACCAACGGGGGTTTCGCGCTTCCACTCGACTCCGCCGGGTATGAGCGGAATGGGCGGCTCGGCTTCAACGCTACCCGGGATGGGTGCGCTTCCGTCTTCGCGCCGCTGGTTCTCAACTTCGCCCAGCAGCGAGAATGTGAGCTCGTTCCACCTGTTCAACGCTGGGCTCGGCTCGAGCGACTCGCTTCCGGGCTTTGAGAATGCGTTCGCCCCCTCTGCCAAGGAGAAGATGGCGCTCAAATGGCCCCTTCTCGGCAAGAGCAGATGGACGGGACAGCAGCGCAGCATCAGCGCGCTGGACGAAGTGACCGCGAATCTTAAGCACGACCTCGGGCCCATCGGCAGCGGGAGCCCGCGCTCGCCTGGCCCTGGTCCCTCGGCTTCGGGCACAGGTACGGGCGCATTCACGCCCGGCCCGAGCGTGGAGGAGATCTTCAACCGCGCGCCCGGCGAGTGGCCTGCGTTCTCGAACGGCGCGTCCCGCTCACCCGATACGGAGCCGTTCAAGGGCAAGGGGCGCGAGGAAGACGAGGACGAGCACCGCGTCGCGGAGCGCAAGCCGTCGTTCCGGTTCTTCACCTCGCTTGGGCGCAAGGGCGGCGTAGCGTAGGCGTAGGCTTAGGCTTAGCTAGCAATGCAGAGTGTCGAGTACATGGAGTGGAGGTGGGGCGATGCCTTGGCCCGTGCAAGCTTCTTTCACGTCAGCCGTCAATCAGAGGCGGAGTGATGCCTGCGCCGCAGCCACGTCCGAGCGCCCTCGTCCGAGCGCCAGCGGAGAACCACGGGGGCGGGGAAACACTGCAGCTTGCTACTCTTACCGTCCTCGACTGAGGCCGACTGGATATCGGCAGATTGTGACTGGCCATTAACCCGCGGATAAAGTGGGGTAGAACCGGATCACGTGATTCCCGGGCATGTTTCGGCTCGGCCGACTTTTGAGTCGAGCGATGGCGACATTGGTTAGGAAGGCAGTAGACTTGTGCATCTCTACTTTGTCTCAGCACCGGTGCGGAACTAGCGCCGAACCAGCTAGCGCCGAACAGCGTACTCTCTCTCCGCGGTCGCCCCCTCCTCCGCGGTCGCTCGTTGCCCTCACCGCCCCAATCGTTCTCTCCGCGCGCCTTCCGCTCTCTGCCCCGCGAGCTCGCTCCTCTCGCACCATGCCCTCTCCCCCTCGCGCATCCGGCTCGTCCACCCCCCGCTCCGCCACGCCGACGTATGGCGTCGACGAGACGCTCAAGAGCAACAGCGCGGACGAGCGTGTGCCCTACGTCGTGCAGAAGTATGGCGGCACGTCGGTCGGCAAGTCGCTCGACTCGATCACGGGGATTGTTGAGTGAGTGGCTGTCGGCGTGGGCGTGGGCGTCGGCGTCGGCGTCGGCGTCGTCCTTGTCCTTTTTCCTCCCCCTCCTCTCCGCCTGACCCCAGATCATACCTCGCGTCGCACCGCGTCGTCGTCGTCTGCTCCGCGCGCTCGACGCAAACCAAAGCGCTCGGCACCACCAACCTGCTCCTCCAAGCGTCGCGCGAGGCGCTGCAGTCCGCGTCCGCGCGGCCCAGCGCGAGCGGCTACCAAACCCCGCTGTACCCGAAGCGCGTGGGCAGCGGCTACTTCTCGCAGAGCGTCATGTCGTCGCTCGCGAGCCTCAACGACGCCGGCGCGGCGGGGCGCAGCGCCTCCCCCTCCCCCTTCCAGCCTAGCGGGCGCGCGCGCGCCAACACCGACTCGGGCGCCGACACGCCCACCGAGTGGGCGGGCGAGTTCGAGGCCGGCTTCAATGCTACCGTGGACACGATTAAGCGCGGGCATCTCGCCGCCGCGCGCCAGGCGCTCTCGCGCGGGCCGTTGCGCGACGAGCTCGAGGACGAGATCGAGCGCGACTGCGAGGCCCTCCGCGCCTTCCTGAATGCCGCGAATGTGAGTGTGGTGTGTGCGGTGTGCGGTGTGCTGTGTGTTGTGTGTGAGGCGTGCGCGGGCGGTGGGGCGGTGGGCCGCACCATGTGGGCCATGTTGGCCCGGCTGCGTTGCGCCTGCGATCTGCAGCGCCGGCGTTTGCACGAGGGCGCGGCGCGTCGAAAGCGATACCGGAGCCGTGAATGAACGCGCTTGCCTGCCTCTACATTCCACACACCGCATCGGAGCTGTGTTGGGTGTATATTGTGTTTGCCAACAGGCATACGCTCTCTTAGCTGGGGGAATGCCGACGAGGGCCGCAGATGCCTCGGGCTTTGCTCGGACGCATGCCAGAACCGCCCGCCTGCCCAAACCCCGTCTCATGCTCACCCCAGATCATCGACGAGATCTCGCCGCGGTCGCAGGACTCGATCATCGGCACTGGCGAGCGGCTAGCGTGCAAGATTGTCGCGGCCGCATTGAGGGATCGCGGCATTGACTCTGAACTCGTGGTGCTCGACAACATCGTCGACCAGTCGATGACGTCGGCCATGGACGCGGCGCTCACGTCGTCGGGCGACCAGGGCGTGTCGCAGCTCGGCCAGGCCTTTTATGACGAGCTTTCGAAGCGTCTCGGCGCACGGTTGCGCGAGTGTGGCCAGCGCGTTCCCGTCGTCACTGGCTTCTTCGGACCCGTCCCAGGCTCGCTCCTCGCCCAGATCGGGCGCGGCTACACCGACCTCTGTGCGGCGCTCTGCGCCGTCGGCGTGCAGGCCGGCGAGCTCCAGGTGTGGAAGGAAGTGGACGGCATCTTCTCCGCGGACCCGCGCAAGGTGCCCGGCGCGCGCCTCGTGCCGTCCATCACGCCCGACGAGGCCGCCGAGCTCACATACTACGGCTCCGAGGTCATCCACCCCTTCACGATGGAGCAGGTCATCCGCGCCAAGATCCCCATCCGCATCAAAAACGTCGAAAACCCCAAGGGCTCGGGCACCATCATCTTGCCCGAGTCCGACTTGAGCGCGAGCGTCGACGGCCTAGACCGCCTCCCCACCGCTGTGACGATAAAGGACCAGATCCTGGTGCTCAACATCCACTCGAACCGCAAGACGATCTCGCACGGCTTCCTCGCGCGCATCTTCGGGACGCTCGACCGGGCCGGCGTCGTCGTCGACCTCATCTCCACGTCCGAGGTCCACGTCTCGATGGCGCTGCAAGACTTTGGCAACGCGCGCCGGCTTGAGCGCCTCGTCAAGGACCTGGAGAAGATCGGCGAGATCACCATCTCGCGGGACATGGCGATTCTCTCGCTCGTGGGCAGAAACATGCGCAACGCCATCGGCTCGGCGTCGCTCATGTTCAGCGCGCTCGCGCGCGCCCAAGTCAACCTCGAGATGATTTCGCAGGGCGCATCCGAGATCAACATCTCGTGCGTGATAGAAAACAAGGACGCGGTCAAGGCGCTCAACGTGATCCACGACTCGTGCCTCAGCCACAAGCCGGTGGGCGTGACGCGCGGCGACGGGCACGCCAAGGCGCTGACGCGCGCGTCGGTCAACCCGGCCGTCCTGCACGTCGAGTACGCGGTGCGCGGCGAGCTGTCGCTCAAGGCCGACGACCTCGCGCACAGACTGCAGGCGGGCGACACGAGCCTGCCCTTTGACAAGATTCTGTACGCCAACATCGGGAACCCGCAGGAACGCGAGCTCAAGCAGCAGCCGCTGACGTACTGGCGCCAAGTGGCGGCGCTGGTCGAGTATCCCGAGCTGATGGCGCATCCGCTCGCGGCCGAGCTGTTCCCGGCCGACGCGATCGCCAAAGCCGGGCAGCTCGTGGACGAGTTCGGCTCTGTCGGCGCATACACGGCGTCCAAGGGCTCGCTGCCGATCCGGAAGCGCGTCGCGCAGTTCATCGAGCGCCGCGACGGCTTCCCCGCCGACCCCGAGCAGATCATCCTCACCGGCGGCGCGACGCCCGCCGTCGCCATGGTCATGGACCTCGCCCTGTGTCCCGGCGACGGCGTGCTCATCCCCATCCCCCAGTATCCGCTGTACACGGCGACGCTGTCGCACCTGCAAGCCACGCCGGTGCCGTACCACCTGGACGAGGCGCGGGGGTGGGCGCTCGACGTGCCGAGCCTGAAGAAGGCGATCGCGCGCGCGAAAACCAACCCGTCGCTGCGCCAGCTCAAAGCCCTCGTCGTCATCAACCCCGGCAACCCGACGGGCTCGTGCCTCTCCGAGGCGGACATGCGCGAAATCGTCCAGCTGTGCTACGACGAAAGCCTCCTCCTCCTCGCCGACGAAGTGTACCAGAACAACGTGTACGACCCTGCGCGCCGCCCGTTCGTGAGCTTCAAAAAGGTGCTGCGCTCGATGCCGGCGATCGCGGACGCGGTCGAGCTCGTCTCCCTCCACTCGATCAGCAAGGGCGTGAGCGGCGAGTGCGGCCGCCGCGGCGGATACCTCGAAGCCGTGAACCTCGACCCCGAGGTCGACGCGCTCCTCCTCAAGATGGCGAGCATCAGCCTCTGCGCCCCCGTGCAAGGCCAAGTGGGCGTGGACCTCCTCGTGTCGCCGCCGCCGCCCGGCGCGCCGTCGCACGCCGCGTACGCGCACGAAAGCGCCGCCATCCACGAGGGCATGAAGGCGCGCTCCAAGCTCATGGCAGAGCGCTTGAACCGCCTCGATGGCGTGACGTGCCAGCCCGCCGACGGCGCGATGTACCTCTTCCCGGCGCTGCGGCTGCCGCCCAAGGCCGTCGAGGCCGCGCGCAAAGCAAACAAGGAGGCGGACACGTTCTATGCCCTCGCCCTGCTTGATGCGACGGGCATATGCGCCGTCGCGGGCTCCGGATTCGGCCAGGAGGACGGCACGTACCATCTGCGCGTGACGACGTTGTGTCCCGACGCCGAGGAGATGATGACGCGCATCGAGGCGTTCCACAAGCGCTTCATGGCCAAGTATGCGTAGCGGATGGAGGAGAGATCGGAGGGAAGGCGGGGGTGTGCATAGATGTCATGATGTAGTGCAATGCCATGGGACCAGGTGGATTGAATCGCCGGGGAGGATTTGGGCTGCCCCGTTGGCACGGGCAACTGATGCGCTCCCATAGCATATCGTGGCGAGGGCAAGCGCAAGCCCGCGCGAGTCGGAACCCAGGCCACTATCTACAAGACGTATACAAGACAAAATACATGAGGTCGTTCTGTGGCCGCCCTCGGCCCTCGGAGGCTGAGGTCACCCCCCTGCACCCACCTCGTCAGCAGCAGCATCGTCCCGCTCAGCACATCCCCTTCCGCGTACTCCTCTGCTCTCTACCATGCCCACCAACGCGCATCAACCGCATACATGCACTATATACGACATGCCTAATTGATACGGAAAATGGAAACCAAAAGTGGGTGGTGGCGGTGGCAACGCACCGCCAATACAACAAGGTACACGGCGGCACCAGGCCGCAATGGCCTTTGACAGAAACGTTAGACGGCATGCCCGACGAGCGCAGACTGGGGCTGCACAAACTGCTGCGCCTGCACAGGCGGCGGCGTCACGCGGTAGGGCAGGTGCTGGACCACGGGCTCGTCCTCGGTGTAGATGCCATACATGTTGTCGAGGGTGCGGGCGCGGGACGGCATGGGCCGCGACTGTATGCCCGTGGCAGACGCTTGGGTGTCCGCTTGAGCCGTGTGGTCCGCGAACGGGTCGGGATCGAGTGATGGGACCGGGACGCGTCGCGCTTGCGGCTGGCGGAGCTTTGGCCCAGGTCCGGAAGATGAAGGTTTGACGGGGACGCCGGCGGAGGCTGGCTGCCCAACCACTCCGGCTCGGTCGTAGGTAAGCCACTCTTCGTAGTGAGTGTTTCGAAAATTAGACGCGTCGTCGTCGACCGCCTGGATCACCTCGTGGTGGTCGTCGTCCGACTCGCTCCGCGCGTACGGGTAGGCACCACGTGAGCGGTCAAAGCTTGGATGGTTCGAGTCGAAGCGGCTCGGGGTGGACCCGACGCCTGCCATACCTGGCCCGCTGCTACCACGCGATCTTCTATCCTTGGCAGCAAAAGGAACGGCTAAGGTGGATAAATGTCTCCAGCGCGAGCGCTGCTGCGGCGGGAGCGGACCGTCGGAGAAGTCGAGCGCGGAGTGCTGCGTGCCATTGCGGCGGAGGTTGCTCGCACCCTTCTCCTCGGCGGCACCGTACGCGCTGAAGGCATACGGATTCGATCGGTCGGTAGAGGCGACGATAGTGTTGCTACGCTTGCGGCGTCGCTGATGGTTAGTGGCATTTACGTTGCCAAAACTCACGAGGCAGAAGAGGATGAGGAACACTGCGGCACCGACAGCGGCAATTGCGCCGATGGAGATACCAGCCTTCGCTCCAGTAGAGAGGATCTCGCTCCCGGACCCAGCACTGGCCGCCTCTGCAGAACCCGACACATTGTCAGAGGCAGATACACCATAAGGCGGTGGTTGCGATGCTGTCACGCCTGGGTTGGTGGGTTGGACGTTTGGCGTCAGGGTCCTCCCAGAAGCAGCGGAAGGAGAGGAGATTCTTGCAACTGAGGCCGTCGACGCGCTGGCAATGCGAGCGGCTGATGACAAGGATGACGAGGACGATACAAGCCCAATGATACCCGCAACGACGGCTTCGCTGCTAACCGCGTCCGAAGGCACGATTGATTCGGCTGCCGCGGACCAGTCTGTCCAACTCTGCGCCAAAGTGTCCTGAACAGGAGCAGACGCCCACCCCTGTGTTGATGATGGTGTCGGCTCTGGTTCCCAGACGGTCTCAGACTGGGACACGGGAGCGTTGGGCCCGCTGCCGTATGTCTCGGGTGGAGGTTGGTACGCTGAGGACGGTGTCCATTGCGGTGCAGGGTCCGATGAGGCCGGAATGGGGTCGGACGTCGAGGGCTGTTCACTACTGTAGATGTCAGTTGCGTCGTCTCGTCACTTGCTGCGCATCGGTACGCACGTGGGCTGAGGCTCGGGCTCAGGAGTCCACGTCGGGGTTGGGCTTGGGCGAGGGCCCGTGTCCTCACTGCTCGAAGCAACAGCGTTCTGATTCTGATTCTGAGACGGTGCCGGCGCTGGGTCGGCGGATGATTCCTGTGCTTGCCTCTCGGTTTGTGGTGATGCGGGCTGTTCTGAGGGCTGGCCGTCCAGTTTGACGTCCTCACTCGGGCTCGGAGAGGAAGGGACAACGGCGGGGACGACGGTGGGTGCGGAGCTGGTATTATCACTGCTGCTATCGTTGTCGCTTGGGCTGTCGCTCGAGCCTGATGAGATAGAAGGGGAGGGAGAGGAGTCGGCGCTCGAGTCTTGCCGTGGGAGATGGGGGGTATAGGGGACAGAGCGTGCGAGGAAGTCCAGGGTATCGGCGTGGGCGTGCACAGGCGAGCCCTCGGGGCGGTGGTGGGGATGGGAGTGGTGATGATGGAAGTGGAGCCGACGGCGGGGTCGCGTGCCGGTCATGGCCACGGAGGCCGAGTCGGGGGACATGTTCCGGAGTGGTGGGAGAGGGATGTTGGAGTCGGCAGTGTGTATGTGTCCGTGTGGAAGAGGAGCGGATGGCAGTGGCGAAGGGTTCGAGGCGCTGCCGCGAGAGCGAGAGGGAGGGAGAGAGGGAGGGAGAGAGGGAGGGAGAGAGGGAGAAGAATGTAAAGAGCGTGAAGATGGAAAGAAAGACGTCGAGAGAGAGAGAGAGAGAGAGAGAGAGAGAGAAAGAGGACGATGACAAGACGACGAGTAGACAGTTGTTGACGGAATCCACGGATGGAGCGATGCACCAAAGGCATGCCTTTCAGGGACCACACTCCGTTTTCTGGGAGCCTTTAGCGCAGGCTCAGGGAAACACGAGGGGCCTGAGCGAGCCAAGCCCAAGGACTGAGGGTGCAATGTCAGGGACATGTTTGGGGATTCCCCGATGGACGCGCTGGAACCGTTCCTGTCGTGCCTTATCGGCTCGGCATTTCCCCTGTCGGCCCCTGTTTCCCCTTGCAGCCCCTGACATCCGAACCCCGGCTTGAGTGGATTAGACCCAAATTTGAGTTACTTAGGGCCAAGGCTAATGGAATTAGCAAAGATTCAGCGTGTTTAGAGTCTCAGGGAATGCCCCGATTCCTGGCCCAACGTGCTGACACCAGGCTAAACGCCCCTGAGCGCCGTCTCGACAACAACAGAACATGATCAACTCTTTTACTCTCTCTTACCTCGTCTCGTCATCATCTGCGCCGAGCATGAAACATGCAGACCTGACTGCGCCGAGTACAGTATAGCAGTTGTCTTTTCTTGGGTTGGGTGACGGGTGACCTTGCAACCAGGCTAAAGACCATGGCCAGACCCAAGTCCCCCTTCCGCCTGGCCGCCTAAACACTTGGACTCATCTCTTCTATACCCAGGGTGGTTGCCAAACGCGCCCAAGCGTCACCTGCGACCGCATGGCATGGGTGTCAAGAGGGTGTCTCGTGATTTCAAGGTGGACATGGCCTGCATGCTGCGTGGCCTGGCCTGGACGTGTTCGCAGCGTGGGATGGGTGCTCGCGCGACTTGGTCGCATGGTCGTGGACGCAGGCGCGCGAGCAGATGTCAGGCCACGAGGCAAACCACCAACCCCATGTGGCGCGCGTTTACGAGCTCATCATGCTGAGATGACACAAGGCAAAACGCCACGCCTTACCACTCTTACCACACGCCGCTCCACATGCTACCATCTACGTCCTCCTCCACACGACCCCACCGCCCTGCTCCCACCCCCCTAGTGCTCCGTGCCCTCCTTGACCCGCACCTTGAACTCTCCCCGCGCCCGCACACCGTTGACCTCGTCCAGGGCCCACTGGCGACACGCACGGTCCTCCCCCGCATCCGTGGTCCACCGAGCACGCGCCACAATCGCCCACCCACGCGTGCTCGGAATCCGCAGGCTCTCCTTCTCCCACTTCCACCCGCACTGCAAGCCCCACCACCCCAGCCACATGACGTACGCCTTGTACCGGCTCGCCCCGGCCTCGAGGCCGTCCTCGAACCCGCCTTCGGGCGTGTGCGCATGCGGCGGCGCCTTGTACTCGTGGGATGTGAACTTGCCGTCCAGCGTGTGCAGGCAGCACGGGAGCGAGAGGAAGGGCACCGGCTTGGCGGGCAAGAGTGAGAGGAGGGGGATCCATGGCTGGTGTTTGTAAGTCAAGCTACGAGGATGCACTCACTGTCAACTCGTCCGCATGGTTGCCGAGAAGGAACGACTCATCCGGAATCACGTGCTCGCTCACGCCCACGCTCGCCCCCTTCCGGTCTCGCCCTCGCCAGACCCCCACATCCCACTCTTCCATCGTGGCCGGGAACAAGGACGGCATGTCGATGCCAAGCTCGACGAGCGCACGCTGCGTCGCCTCGGGGTACTGCGGCCAGGTGCGCCGCTGTCGCAACTCGTACCCTTTTCCAGAATATCCCTGAATATCAGCTGAAGAATTCTCTTCAAGGTGCAAGTCACCCACTTCAGAGACAAGAATGTGGACCAGAAGCCCATTGCCCTGTGGTGTCAGCGGTCCAGCCCTGATTTTGCGCCTGCTCATAAACTCACACATCCGAGGTCGACAAACCCGCCAGGCGGTCGGCCCCACTTGTCCCACTCCATGCCCGTCTCGCTCCCTTCGCGGGCCGGATACATGTCGCGCCAGAGGAGCATAAGAAAGGCGGCAATGGCAATGTCCTGTTGTCCCCAAGCAGCAATGTTGTGCGGCAACAGCCGATCGTCGGGTGAGCCTCCGTCTCGCACGCTCTGTCCGTCGGCACGGCACGAGCCCCACTCACCTTCCACACATGTCGCTTGACGTCCTCGACCTTGGTGCTCCACGGCTGGGGCACGCGGCTGTCGAGCTGCTTGTGCCTCTCTTTGAGCGCCTGGTAGAGGTCTTGGAACGGCTCGCGCGACACGACCACGTCGTGGTGCACGCGCTTGACATAGCCATACGCGCTGCCGTGCCCGTGCTTGTGCAGCTTTTCGAGCAAGTGCAAGCAGGTGCGCTGCAAGCGGTTCTCGGCCTGCACGCGCGCCTCTGCGCGCGCTTCGGGCGAATCGTCCTCGAGCACGGTAGCCGGGGGAGGTACAGCGTCCGTGGCGGACGGGGACAGGGGGCCGGCAAGGGGCGAGCGCCTCAGCCGTGGCTTGGGGGGAGGACCGAGGACGTCACCTGCCGGTGTCGGTGAATCCTCGAAAGGGAGGTACCCAATGTAGATGCGGCCGTATACCCGCGGCTCATCGCCTTCTGGAGGCTCGATGCTCTCGTCGGCCTCCCACAAGAACGCGAGCTGCCGCACTGGAGGGTGGTAGTATGGCATCTCGGCGGCACTCGACACCTCTGGCGTCTTGAGGACGAGGCCCAGTCTCCCGTCGTCGGACGAGTATGCCGCATTGCGCTGGCAGAGTCTGGTGTCGCGTCGCGCCTGCCGCGGAACGAACCGAACACGTATTCTCTCGATGGGAGCAGGGTTGACTCCGATGTGGGCGGCCAAGGCGTCGTCGATCGCATCTGTCTCGGGGATGCCGGGGAGTTTCTGGGCGCGCAGAATCAGGCTCGAGTTCTGCTCGGGGTGTAGCGATTGCTCTTGGAGAACGAGGTGAAACAGGTCGAGGGGGAAGTAGGCCGGCGCGGAGAGAGGGACGACCCAACCTGGCGCCGAGAGCGGCGTGGGCGTGTTGCGCGGCAGGTATGCCGGCTGAAACTTTGGGTGGACAATCTCCCTGCCTGGCTTTGGTTTGGCGTTTGGGGGGTAAGAGGTCCCGCTCGTGCCGACGTCCAGCGCCGAGAGCTGGTCTTGGAGTGTCATTGGGGTAAGGTGCGCGCAGCAACACGGATGTGGCCACGTCGATGTGTGATGTGATGATCGTCGTTGGAGCGGAAAGAGTGGAGACGGAGATGACGGAGATGACGGAGATGACACGTGTCATCTCCGCTCCCTCACCACGGCATCCGCCCATCCGCCCCCTGATCTCCGTGCCTGGCTGTTGAGCCGCGATCAGTCTGTCCCCGCGTTCTTTTCCACGTCGCCCCCCTCGTTCATCCTCGTCTCTTTCTCTTTCTCCTCTTCCACATACATCAATATGTCGGCAGTGGACTCCAAAATCCCAGCCGATGTAAAGGCCCAGGCGCCCGTCGCCAACGGCGCCCACCTCAACGGCTCCAAGCCCTCCTGGCGCACGTAAGTTCTCCCTCCTATCATATCTACGGCACGGCCCGGCTGATATCAGCTCAAACGTCAAGACGGTCCCCAACCCCCCGCTGCCCGCAGAGGGCTGCGGCTCGTTCAACAACTACCACCTCGCCGCCATTGACATTATCGTCCCATGGATCGTCCAGCGCTGCCTCCCCTTCGCCCGCAGCAGCTGGTACATGTACTTGTTCCTCTTCGTCGTCCTCTTCGTGCCCCTCACCATCGGCTACTGGATCGTCATGTCCCGCTACGGCCCTCCCATCAACGACAAGATGCCTCTCCCCAACCGTCCCCTCTCCGACTACTACACCATCACCGACGAGGAGATGCGCGCAAAGTGGGACGGCAAGAAGATGCCCATGCAGATCTGGCACGACGCCTACTTTGACGGCAAGATCGAGCTCGCCCCCGGCATGTCGTGTCTCGACGTCCTCGAGTACCGCTACGACTGGTCGCGTTTCGAGCTGTCATTCGACAACTTCCGCTACGTCCTCTTCAACCTCATCCCCGATGTCATCTTCCACACCAAGCAGCAGGACGAGGACCAGATCCGTGACAACTATGACCGGGGCAACGACTTCTACAGCTGGTTCCTCGGCCCCCGCATGATTTACACCAGCGGCGTCATCAGCGACATCCACCGCGAGGAGACGCTCGAGGAGCTCCAGGACAACAAGCTCAACCTCGTGTGCGACAAGATCGACCTCAAGCCCACCGACACCCTCCTCGACATCGGCTGTGGCTGGGGCACCCTCATCGCGCACGCCGCCAAGAACTACGGCTGCCAGGTGACGGGTATTACAGTTGCGCAGAACGGCGCCGAGTGGGCCAACCAGCGCCTGCGCGAGGCCGGCATCCCCGAGTCCCAGGGCCGCGCCCTCTGCCTCGACTACCGCGAGATCCCCAAGACGCAAAAGTTCTCCAAGATCACGTGTCTCGAGATGGCCGAGCACGTCGGCATGAAGCGCTACCGCACCTTCCTGCGCGGCCTGTACGACCTGCTCGAAGACGACGGCCTCCTGTGCTTCCAGGTCGCGGGCCTCCGCAAGTGCTGGCAGTTCGAGGACCTCATTTGGGGCATCTTCATGAACAAGTACATCTTCCCCGGCGCCGACGCCTCGCTCAACATGGGCTGGGTTATCAACGAGCTCGAGGGCGCCGGCTTTGAAGTCAAGAGCGCCGACGTCTTTGGCGTCCACTACGCCGCCACCCTCCACCGCTGGTACAAGAACTGGATTATGAACCGCGAGAAGGTCGAGGCCACCTACGGCCCTAGATGGTACCGTCTCTGGCTCTACTTCCTCGCGTACTCGATCATCGTCGCGCGCCAGGGAGGCTCGTCCGTCTTCCAGATCACGCTCCACAAGAACCTCAACGGCTTCCACCGCGTCGAGGGCGTCCCCACCCACCCCGCCGTCAAGATGGTCCGCCCCAAGGGCGACTTTGTCCCCATCGACACCCACAAGAGCTGGTTCCCCGAGGTCTACGGCACCTCGGTCTCGGCCTCCGCCCCCAAGATCTAAGCGCGGGTTTTGGTCTCGGCCTCGGCTTCGGCCTCGAGCCTCTGAATGTGGGCGCGCGCTGGCACGCTCCCCTTCATGTCATCTACACCATCTCCCTCCTCCCCCTCCCCCCTCCCCCCAAGCGCATAGAGCAATGCTATAGACTACTTGGCACCAGCGCTGCGGCGTTTTTGAATGCATGTATGTCTTTTTGGTCGCCGTGACGCAATGTTGGTGCATGCAGTGGTGGTTGGCGTAATGCCATTCAGGTGAGCAACAATGTGTGAGCTCGACAACAACCTCGTCGTAATGATGTGAGCTTCGTCTGTGGTGGGTGGCTGAACGCACCGCCACCTCCAGCAAGATGATGCTACGTTTCATGCCGTTTACGAATACAAGCTAGATACGATGTAAGGGGGTATTGGAAGGGATGTACACTTCATCTACTATCTACCGACCATGGTCATGACGGCCTTGGGCGCGGGCGCAGGCTGCTTCCTCACACTGTTGGCGTTGGCGTTCGCATGGCTCTTGGCATGCGCCGTGCCAGGCTGCACCCCGGGCGCGGCGGCGTCGCTCGCAAGGCTCGTCGAGCTTCCGCTCGTAGCCAGCTGCGAGAGCGGGGACAACCGCTGGCGGCCCGCCATGGGCTCCAGGCGCTTCTTGATCTCTTTGAGCGCCTTGGTGGTGGGTTTCCAGGCGGTGATGTTGTCGCGCAGCGTGCGCAACTCGTCGGGAAACAGGTCTTTGACCTCGGGTGAGTCTACGAGCGCGCGCATAATCCATGGCAGCTCAAAGTCGTTGCGCGAGTCGCGGGCTGCAAAGGGCTCGACTTCAAGCGGCGGCATGGGCTGCGCAGCAGGGCCCGCGTGGAAGAGATACTGCACGGCCATAGAGTAGCACCCCAGCTCCTCGTACGGCGTGCTGTGTCCGACGCCGGTGAGCGAGCCAGCCGTTGCCTCGGACAGATGCTCTATGAGGCGCTGGTCGTCGATCCCTGCGTTGCGGAGCATGAACGCAAAGCAGAGCAGGTTGGTCATAAAATCCGAGGCAGAGTAGGATGCGCCGTCAACGTACAGTGCGCGCAAGAGAAGCGGGTGTGAAGCCGTAGCGAAGGACGCCCCGTAGATTGGCACGACCTGGTCGTTAAGCGACGAGAGCAGGAGTACCTTGACCTCATTCTCAACCACCATTGCAAGCGCGCGCTGGTACGCGACGGATACGGCCGAAGTCGTATCCTGGAACTCGAAGAGCTCGCGCGCGGCTGCATTCTCAAACCACTGCAGGTAGGGCTGGATGACGCTCGACGTCGATATCGAGTAGAACGGGCCGAGGTGGACGCCGCACATGGCCAACATGGCCACCTTCTGCCGGCCGCCCTCACGCCCGCTCATCCGAGCAGCGAGCTGCCGACCCTTCTTCGAGTCTTCGTTCGGCATGATGCCGATGGGGCCAAAGGCCCACTCGCATCTGGCGGTTGCCTCGCGGTTGGTGGCAGTGCGGATGTGACCTTGCGCAATCATGCGGGAAATGAGGTGCGTCGTGACGATACACCCCTGCGAGTGCGCCGCGAAGAGAATGGCGTCGGCGCGGCGAAGATCGTTGATCCAGGCAGGGTTCGACAGATACTGCTTGTACAGCTTGTCGACGCGGTGCTCGATCGTCCCTTCACCTTCCAGCGGAATGAGCGTGAGCCTGATATCGTTCTCGTCGACGTCCTTCTCCTTGAAGAACTTGCGTACTGCCTCGCCCATCATGTTGGCAAACTTAGTCGAGGTGCCTGTTGGCTCGCCGATGACGCTACGGTCAGTTATCGCTGTGGGGGAGCACTCACGAAGTCAACATCTTTGCTGGGAACCACCCATGCACGCCGATGACAACAACGCGTTCGACATCACGCCAGCCGTCATCGGGGCTGCCGCCGCCGAGCCCGATGCGGCGGGGAAGATTAGCTCCTATGTCCCGTCCAGCCTTCTTCCCTCGCTTCTCATGTGGTGGATCGACTGGCTGTGTGCTGTACACGTAATTGAAAGCACGCAGAGCGAGCCCAGCGGCTCCAGGGGGTTCGGGATTGCGGGGTAGAAGGGATCGCGGCGGACGATCAAAGGTTATATCGAACGTCGGGATAATGAAGTTCTGCTGCTTCGGGGCTGGCTTGGGGGTCCCAGGCAAGTCTGATGCGCCTTTGATCGCTTGCGCTTGACCATTAGCCTGAGCGACTCTCGGAGACGGTGGTGGTTGCGACGCGCTAACCGCCGTACGCGTGGAGGAAGCGTTGGAGAGGCGACGACTCCGGTTAGTAGAGAGATTTTGCGATCGCTTATGAGCAAGTTTCTGTGTCGGCTGAGGCTGGACAGATGCAGTGCTGATGGAGTCGCGCCGCTCTTCAGGTCGGAACTCCGTGGTCTTGCCTCTTGCCACCACTCCTGTTGCCTTGCTTTGTGATCCAGCGAGCTTGTCCGCAGCTGCAGGCTGCGAGGCGCTGGTTTGCCTCGAGAGATTGGCGCCGGTTGCCTTTACCGGTGGCCCTCCTTTCGAGGCCTGGGAGAGACTGGCCTGTCGCGAAACATTCGCGCCGGTAGCCTTGGAGTTGCTCCCCTCGCGCGCCTGGGCAGCCTCGATGACCTTAGGCTCTTCTGCCTGGGGAAAGTCTGGGTCGTTCTCCATGTCCATGACCTCCTCACCATCCAAGGTCTTAGTGGAGGCCGTAATGGTCTTCTGTGTTGCCCGAAACGCGAGGTAGCTCAGCCAGCCGGACGTCGAAGCCGCCGAAGAAGCGTACTTTTGCTGTTGCGCGGAAGATGACGTAGGCTGCGGCTCATCGGGAGGAAGCTCAATCTCAGGTCCATTCGTGGGAGCAGGGACATTTGTTGTTGGCGACGGATTCTCTGCGGCCGGCTTCTGATCTTCTGCAGGATTGGACAGCTGGACAATAGTGGATGGCTCCACCTGTTCACCAGTGACAGGAGCTGGTGGTTCCGTTGTGGTCTCCGCGGGAGGAGGCGCTGCACGAGTGGAGGCCGGCTGGGTGGTGGTGGGATAGACCCATGAAGTGAGATATGAGCCCCACCCTTGCGCGGGCGCAGCAGCCGTCGAGGGCGATCTCGACCTGGATCTCGGGCGTTGAGCTTCCGACGAAGAGCGCTCAGACGTTATCTCAGCTGGAGGAAGGAGGCTGCCCTCGACGGGGGGTGGTGCTGCGAGTATGGCCGCTGTGGACTTGGTGACCGGCTGTTCGACGGACGTGGGCTCCGGTTTTGCCTCACAATGAGTGTCCTTATCCTTGGGCGAGTTTGCGCAAGCCTTGGACGGAACTGGCGCCGGTGTCTTGGACACGATCTTGGAGTTCTGCTTCCCAAGCTTATCCGCGCTGCGGCGATCAATGCTGGTCGATGTCCGTGGAGATGGCGGAGCTGATGGAGAGGGCGTCGCAACGGCCGAGACTGTGTGAAGAGACCCTACTCTCTTGCGCCTCTTCACGCTTCCATTCATGCTGCCATTTGTGCGGGCGCTGGCTCTTGATTCTATCCTGGCAAGCGCCAATTCCGCAGCTGCGACGGCGGGGTCGGTCATGTCATTCGGAAGAATGGGCGGCGGCACGAGATGATGAGCCGCCGTGGAAGACTCGCCACCTCCACCCCAGAAGTACGCGCGCCACCCGGCAGGAGTGGTCTTTGTCGGAGGGTCCGCTGGACGCATGATGGGGGTAGTGGGGTCTGGAGTTCCGGGCTCTGGCTCGGGCTCGGGCTCGGGCTCGGCTTTGAGGTCGTCCTCAGCTGTGTTGAGTGGGAAAGTGGATGTTGGAGAGGAAGTGAGTGGTTGTGATGGGATGAGAGTCGACACGGTGGCCTCATCTTGCTGTTCGTGTGCCGCGGCTGTGGCCGGAGGCGCAGGCACGGGCTGCATGCGATCCGCACGACCACTTTGCCGCACATCGTCGTGATCGGCGCGTGCGGCGGTGGCCGTGCCGGGTGAGTCGGCACGCGCCTTGCCCTTGTCCTTTCTTGGGAACGAAGGCGCAGGCGAGTTCCAGCGGAGCCACGCCCCACTCTGTTTGGGGTTAAGGCGCGGGGTCGTTGGAGCGGGTTCATCCATGGCGCACGCGCTGTTTCGCCGCTCTGGAGTGGTGTCTCTTCTCCCGGAGGTAGAGGGGACGAGGAAGTCTTGTGGGACAGAGCGACGGGAGCTGGCGCGGCGTCGACGCATGCGAGGTGTAGGTGGTGGTGAGTCGGCGTCGACGTCGGCGTCGGGCGGTAGCGATGCGGAAGATGTGGGGTCAAGATGAGGATGTGGGGAGCGCAAGGTCGAAGGTCCGGCCTCTTCCTCCTCTGGAAGGGCGGCCGAGAGGGGATATGATGAGTAACCTGAGCGCATGGACGCGAGTGTTGCTACGCTTGAGCGGCGTGAGCGCAAGCTGATGCGTTCCCCTGCAGTGTCCCGGTCGAGTTGGCGGGACAGAGCCTCCTCGCTCGCACTGCCGTCTGCCTGGACGGCATCGCCGTGCGCAAACACCAGAGACACGGAGACATGTGCCTTGGCAGCGGCGACGCGGCCGCGCGAGCCTGGCGCACCCCGCAAGGCGGAGGGCGGTCGACGCACCGACGAGGCGGGAGTGCGTGGTGCGCTTGAGACGTGATTCCTGGCGCTCATGCAGGCAAAAGCATGGTCGAGGAGGTGAGTCAGTGATGTTGGGGGGGCCGTCGAGATGAGATGGAGATGTGGGGAGTGGAGGAAGGTGCATTGGGTGGCCACTCCGTCACCGCATCTCCGCGGCATGAGAGGCACGTGGAATCGATTACGATCGATTGTATTCAGAGGACTGTTACGTCAATAGCGGAAGCATTTCTCAGCCTCCACCTCTCCCCACGGGCAATGACATCAGATGACTCGACAGCCGTCGACCCTCGAACGACTCGCAACAACATGAGGCAGACATTCTCCTGCTCCGTCGCCGCTCATTTCTCGTTCACACACTCTCTCAAGCACCATGGACAAAGGTGTGTACCACTTCATTGCATGCTAATCCCAGCCCTCGGTAATGCAACTCGCCTCTCGCTAGAGAGCACCGTTCGTCTACGCTCTGGCGCAGCCATGCCCGTGCTCGGATTTGGCGTATACCAGGCACGTGGCGACGATTGCAAGAACGCCGTCAAGACCGCTCTCCAGGCCGGATATCGCCACAGTGAGCATGCTTGATTGTCAGCGCTGCTAACACCAGTCGACAGCGCGCAGGCTTATCACAATGAGACATGTGAGTGACCCTCGGTAACTTGGCCCGATAAAGCCAAAACCATGCTTCGCAGGGGAATTGCGACTGCGCCCGATGGCCAACGTGTGTGCGACCCAGTGACTACCCGCAGGTGCCATCTTGCAGTCGCCGCACCCCCACATAGTTAATCTCGGCGCCGGAGGCCAAGATGCCCTCCTATTAGTCCGCCCGTCGCCACCATCAGTGTTCTCAGGCCGTGGCCTCTTTCTCCATCACCCATTCTCTTGCTGACAACAGTGGTTGGCGCGGGCATCGCCGACTCGGGCGTACCACGTTCCCAGGTCTTTATCACGACCAAGTTCATGCCGGGGCACAGCGTGCCCACAGAGGACGAGGTGTACGACCATCTAGTCAAGTCTACGCGTCGCTTCACTCCCAGCACACCCAAGCCGCCCGACGGGTACCTTGACCTACTGCTCATCCATGCGCCGCGTCCCAACGAAGAGGCCCGGGCCGTGCACTGGAAGGCCTTGGCACGAGCTCAGAAGGAGGGATGGGCACGCGACATCGGCGTGTCCAACTTCGGCGTCAAGCATCTCCGTGCGCTCCCCGAGCCGCTTCCCGCCATCAACCAGATCGAGCTGCACCCGTGGTGCCAGCAACGCGACATTGTCAAGTACTGCCAGGACAAGGGGATTGTTGTGCAGGCTTATTGTCCCATTGTGCGCGCCGATCCGAATCGCCTTGGTGATCCCACCGTGGTGAAAATCGCTGAGAAACACGGCAAGGAGGTGCCACAGGTGCTCATCCGCTGGAGTCTGCAGAAGGGGTGAGTATGGTGCGCTCGTCATGTGCAGGCCGGGCTACACATCGCGCGTTGAAGTGAGAGGTGGGGCGATGAGGGGAAGTGGGGGATGGTCTGTGGGGAACGCGGGGGAAGGTGGGGGGTGGTGGGGTGCTGGCTGACACATCTTGCTTCGAGTGCTCGTCGAGGTTCACGCTTGCAGTCGCCACCGAGTACGGGCGGCATCCGTATCCCGCCCGGATCCGTGGAGGTCGGTTGGGACTGCGCATGAGCGGCATAGGCGCAAGCGCAGGCGCAGGCACCAGCGCTCAGTTGCAATATTGCAGCTCTTCAGTGCATTGCTATGCGCAGTGCTTTGACACGGGATCGAGGAAGCACGCTGCGGTCCGGCGCATCGTCGACCGCGCATCCGCGGAATGCGCCAGGTGCTCAAGCCCACCATTCTTCCATTCTCTGCGGCGCCTGCCCCGAAATGAAATGAATGCGCACGCTCTCGTGCCTGCGCACTGACAACTCGCGGGCTCGAGGGCGCTGCTTGGCGCGCTCAGCTCCGTCCGCGTGACTTCGGCCGCGCCGGCCAAGACACACGTCATGAGCTGCCGGTGGCGCGCGCCTGCTCGCGAGCGGACTGATGCTTCCATTCCAAGGCGCGTGGCTGGTGCCGCCTGCGCGCCCGCGATGCTCGGAGATCGGAGACTGCGTGGCACACGGGGTCAACTTTCCGCGGCATCACAAGCGCGACGAGCTCACGCCAGATACGTTCCACTGCCCAAGAGTGTGACGCCGTCGCGCATCAAGTCGAACATGGATGTGTTCGACTTTGAGCTTGATGCAGAGGACATGGCGGCGCTGGACAGCCTCGACGAGGGCGCCAAGGGCGCATGCTCGTGGAACCCGGTCGACACGCCTTGAGGGCCTTCTAACGGTGCAACAGGCTGACACGGTGAAGCAAACACAACTCGTGTGTATGTATCGAGTGCCCACTTGCCAGCGCACATCAACATGTACCCCTGACTTCTGCCGAATTTGCGAAAATGCTGACTAGAATGCATCAACAAGGAAATGGCTAGGTCTAATGATACACTGTAAGTGAGGCAATGTTGACAGCGAGTCGTACAGGTCGGTGCGATTATGATTCTAGGCATAAGCGGCCTTGTGGTTGGTGAAGTAGGCCATCGACTCGACGCCCACACCCTGATGTTTGCGGGTGTGGCTGTGGAGGTGGCTGGGCATCTGTGGCAAAGGCATGGGGCTGAGCTGGGGAGTTGGTGGAAGGCTTCCTGACGAGCTCGCCGAGCTGGGCGCACGCCCAAAGCCGAAAGCCTCGGGCCCGACAAGGCCGGGAGTTCCGGCTGGTGTCGCCGGCTGGTGAGCGATGAATGTCGATGGAGCAGCGTAGTGCTGGAAGTGGGGCGAGTAGGGACTGGGTGGTGGTGCGATGAGGTAGCCGTACATGTCGGACATGTCGGGCGATGGCGTCTGCACATATTCGGACATGCACGACGACGACCAGTGGGAGAGGTACGAGGAGGCATGGGAGGAGGCAATGGATGGTGGCGGCCGCGCTGGCTTGGCTGGCATGGCGCGCGCCGGAATGGGCGGGGGAACGGGCATGGGTGGGGGAGCGGAGAAGGAGGGAGCGTTGATGACCATCTGGCGCAGCTGGCGCAGGGAGATGCGGTCCGCCGGGTTGCGGGCGAAGAGACCGGCACAGATGTCGGCAGTGGAGGCGGAGAGGGGGAGAATTCTTGCAAGGATCGAAGGGTCGTCGACATAGGCGCGGAACGTGTCGTCTTCGAGGGTGGCTTGCTTCCACGGATTGCGGACGCACGCCAGGTTGACGAGGATGATGCCGAGGGACCAGAGGTCTGCCTGAATCGTCGAGTAGCTGTCGACGGGCTCGAAGAGTCCGCCCTGGCACTCGGGCGAGAGATAGAATGTTGACCCGCTGAAACATGTCAGCCTATTTCCTACGGTATTTTTGCGTTGGCACTCACCATCCAAAGTCGCGGCTGTAAGCCTCGGTTGTTGCGAGACCAAAGTCGGCGAGAACTACCTTTGTCCCGTCGGCAGAGCACAGGATATTCTCTGGCTTGAGGTCGCGGTGGTAGATGCCCATGTCGTGGCAGTGGCCGACGGCATCAATGATCTGCAGGAACACGGAGCGGACGAGCTCATCGTCGCCAATGTATCTCCCGCGGTCGGCAATCATGGCAAACAGATCTCCTCCGGGGTAGTAGTCCATGACGATGAAGGTGTAGTCTCCCTCGTCGAATACTCTATACACGGTGGCGACATTTGGGTGGTTGCTCGCAATGTTGTGAAGCGCGATCTCTCGCCTTTGGAAGGTACGTTGGCGTTCGTCGAGACCCGTGCGCGACAGGCATTTGACTGCACGCAGGTGGGCGACGGCACCTCCGGCTTCGCACGGGCATGTCTGGAAAGGGTGGGGTTGATGGTGGTGGATGAGAGCGCTTGGGCCGCCGGCAACGGACGAGCGGCACGGACAGGCCTTGGGACAAGGACAGGGCGAACTCCAGTCACGCGCGAGGTAGACGACGCCGTACGCACCGACACCCAGGATGGACTTGAGCTCGAGCCGCCCGTCTTCGAGGACGAGGCCTGCAAGTTCAAGGCCGATGGTTGTCGAACGCATCGTGCAAGGTGTGGTGGATGAGGGAGGGTGGGTGTGGGTCTGGTGGTGGTGGTGGTGGGAAGATGGCGGCAGCGAGCAGGTGTTGAGGCTGCGTTGGGTTGCGAGTGTGGCGGGTAGCAGGTGACTGACTGCAACTCTGTATTAACCTAGACACCGAATGTGCGGCGTGCTATTGTGCGTAAATGATGGGCGTGGCACCGTGTATATGTGGGGCCGAGGTGGTTTACAGTCACCCGAAGGCGTCACGGAGTGTCGTAATGGGGACAGATGGTGATGGGATCGACGTGGAGCAGAGTAGACGAGTCGATGTCGAGGAGGGGGGATACGCCGGCCAGCCGGCGGTATGTCTATGTCGTGTCTGCAGGTCTGGGAGGGGTGATGAGATGCCCTCGGGCAACTTGGATGCACTTATGAACGCGCTCGACGCCCTCAGGTGACACTATGAGACCCGGTTTCACGTGCTTGTCCTGCTCCTGCAGACGATAGCACGGTGTGCGTCTCGCTGCAGCATTCTCGTTTCCCGAAGGGCGTGGGGACGGGGGGGCCAGCACCTGGGGACTGGGGAGGGCATGGGGAGGGGAGGGGCATGGCTTGCGGCGTCGCCAGGGTTTGTGGCGGTTGGCGCTTTTCGCCCGATCAACCGACTAGGGTGGTGGTTGTGGCGCGTGCGTCAATCCACACCACCAGGTATGACCCAGGAGATCCGTCGCCACCACCGCTCGGGCGCTGCTTACCAACCTGCCCAAGAAGGATTGCCTAGACTCTCAAGGCCTGTAGGCTGAGCCACCCACCCCTTGAGTGGAGACCGAGGGCCTGCTGACGTCGCAGCGGGTTACATGACGCGCAGCGCTCGTGCCCCCCCCCCCCCCCCCCCCCCCCCCCCCCCC